TTCAAATTTTAATATTACTAAGAATCTTATTTAGATAAATGTATGTAAATTTTTTTGAAATAACTGAAAATACAAAGTGAAAAAAAAAAAATTAAAAAAATTCAAAAGGAAATTTCGCTAAATAAAAGACAATAATTGGGCCAAACCAACAAACACAAACCCCAATAATTGAACTATATTAACGGACGCAAGTCACGCAAGTTGAGGACAAGTCGCTAGAATGTGTTTATGTTTAGTTAGGTATTTAAATCATTATTATATTAGTTAATAATTAAAAATATTAGTATAGAATTGGACATTAAATTACAAATTTGACATTATATATATGAAAAAGTAAGGGTATTATAGGCATATCATATTTTTACAGATTCATTAGCTCTTTTATAATAGTATAGATGAAGGGCTATGTGTTAAGTGATCATATCGAGTGGAGAGAGTCACTAGTGAGTTGCGAAAATATGTTTATGGCATTGAAACTGAACATGGTCAAAACATATGATAAAGTGGAATGGAAGGCTATACAGCTAACTATGATTAAAATGGGTTATGGCTTGTTTTCAATTTCCCTCATTTTCTTTCAAAGTCAATGGCAGAATTTCTGGTCAAGTGCATGCTACTAGGGGAATAAGGCAAGGGGACCCTCTGTTTCCCTACCTATTTCTAATCATCTCTGAATTATTGGTTGAAAAAATCAATTGTGAAGTTGAAAAAGGGTGTTTCAAGGGATTCAGAATAGCAAAGGATGGGCCTTTACTGACCCACTCATGTTTGCAGATAATAATTTACTATTTTGTAGGGCAGATGAAAGGCAAGTGGGGACCATTAGGAGCATTCCGAATGCTTACAATCAGTTCACAGTGCAACATGTAAACTTAGCCAAGTCTGCTATATTCTTCAATAAGAATACACCAGTGGAAGTTCAACACAGAGTTCGCAACTTACTTGAAAAAATTCAAGTACACTCTTTCACCAGGTACCTTGGGCTCCCTATGGGCATTGGGAAATAAAAAAGGGAGGCATTTGCTTATATCTTCTCAGTTGTGAAGAACAGACCAAAGTTGGAGGAATAGGTGACTAACAACTGTAGGCAAAGAGACTCAAAGCAGTTGTTAATGCTTTACCTGTTTATGCCATGTCTTGTTATGTTCTACCAGGTGGTCTGTGTGATGAAATATCAAAAGTATGCTGCAAATTATGGTGGGGCAAACAATCTGAAGGACAAAGGGCAATTCCATGGGTGGCTTGGAGCAAACTTACACTGAAAACGAAGCATGATGGCTTAAGATTCCAGGATGTCAAACCTTTAATGAATCTCTCATTGCCAAACAACTGTGGAAGTTACTTGTTGATCCTCATTCTTTAGCCAGCAGAGTACTTAAAATGAAGTATTTTCCTAACTTTTCATTGTTTGAGGCTATGTTTGTCCCATTTTTGTTATATTTTTTGTGGTCATTTTGCCTTTCTTTTTCCCCACGTTAGGTCCTTTAGTTGGTTTTTAGTTTGTCTTATAATTTATTTTGTGCTTTCCCGTATCCTAGTCTTTTCTGTGTTTTTCGGTTGTTTCTTCGTTTTCTGCGTTTTTCTAGTCTTTAGTGGTGAGCAGGTCAGATTCCTCGGTCGATTATATTTTGAAGTAGGAAATTTATTTGATGAGCTTCATGTTGTAGTAGGATGCGTTCGCTTCATACAGAAGAAAACAGAATCGAAATCGATTTCTAAACGAGCTCGAAGATGCAATGCAAGTAGGGCCCGAGCTCCCAGACCTCTGCGCGCCCTTCACGAGGCCATCAGAGAACCTGCTCTACGCACTGTGCCGCGAGGACTCCAGCGCCGCGCCACATGACCCTGTCACGCCGCGAGGACACTAACGTCGCGGCACTCCCAAGCTTCTTTACGTCGGGCGCTGCCTTGTGATGCCCGACACGCCTGGACAGAGACGCACATCAGACTTCCACGTCACTGCAGTGTGCCGTGCCACGACATCCTTGTTCTCTATGCCGTGAGATGACCCCCACGCCACGCCACTCCCTCCTGCCGCGTCGCTAGCCTCTGTCGCATCGTGCTGCGCACACCCAGTTTTTTGCTCCCGCGGTCGCGACTTCTACTTTACCGCGGCCGCGGCGAACAAAAAAAGTCCCACCTCCCAGACTTCTGCTCGTTGAAACTCGCAGCCTCAGAGGATCTCGCGGCCGTGGAGGTTGCGGTTTTAGGAATATTAAGAATAGTCTTTTGTGAATGACGGGATGATGTTGGAAGCTAGGTTTTGAACATCCCGTCGATTTTCTTCACTCGTTTTTCTTTCTCTTTTCATATTTTTCGACGTAAAACACAGATTTGATCTCGGATTTTGCTATTTATTTTGGATTCAAGCTTGTTTATCGAATTCAACTTCGGGATTTATAAATCGTAAGAGTCTATTTTAATTTACTCGTTAAATATGAGTTCTTGGGTTGAGATTGCTTGTGGTGATTATTCGATTATGAGTAGCTAAATTCATATGCTAGGGACTAGGGGATTGATGTTTTGATTTTGTTTGCGCTTATCATGCTCGTGATTGTTCAATTTATGCGAGTTAATCTTTTACTAGGGTTTTTTCAATCATCGTTCTTGAGTTTTGAGAATTGTTGAAGGGTGACACTTCAACTTCCAATTATTTTTTATTGAATTCGTTTAATTCGTGCATGATGTTGATAATTCTAAACGAACTAGTTGATTCACCACCTTCTAGTCTTCTTTAATCGACTCTTAGAACCGAAAAGGGAGGAGTCGGTGGAAATAGGCTCGTATAAACTAGGCTTGTTTGTAATTGTTTTGCCTAGGTGTTAAATGACTTGTTAACTTGTCGTTTAAGTTTGTTCTCTTGTTACGGAGAGTTATTGAGAATGAGTATTTGAACGAGCCGGTTATTCAAATCACTTAACTGAACAATCTCTTGCTTGATAATTGCATTTTCGAACCAAAATAGATATCCTCGACTCCCTAGCTTCTTAAATTTTGCTTGTTCTACGTGTTAGCTTGCTATTTCAATTTGCGTTGTTTAAATACTAGTAGTTGATAATTTAAAACCAAACCAATCTTTGATTTAGAATGTTTAGGAATGTTATTTCTTTTATTTGTGCTTGAATAAATGAACAGAGTATTCTGGCCAACCTTCCTCGAGAGATATGACCCGGTGTTCGAATCCTTTGATTCT